GCTGGGCTTGAACTCACTTTGTAGCTCCGGCTGGCCTTGAACTCACAACGATCCTCCTGCCTCAGCCTCCAGAGTGCTGGGATTACAAGTGTGCATCACCACGCTCAGCTTGCCTTAAATTAATAGCAATCCTCCTGCCTCAGCCTCCCTGGTGCTGGGATTGTAGGCATGCACCATCATGCCTAGCTCGGGCCCAAGCTTTTCTTTTTAGTTACGAAGATTTTTGGTGCAATATCTTGAAATACTCAAAGGGATCTCACACAGAGGAGCGACTAAACTTATTCAGAGTGGCTTCAGAGGGCTAAATAAAAACCACTGTACAGCAGAAGTTATCTAAGAGGAGGTGGATTTAGCCTGGGCTGAGACTGCTTTAATGATTAGAGCTGTCCAAATATGGGACAGGCTGCCTTTTGCAACCTCCATTGCTGTACAGGAGGGCATTGGAGCGCTGAGAAGTTGGCTGGGGCCTCTTTTGCAAAGTCACGCTTTCTACTGGCTCTTTCTGATTTTTACCAGCTAAGTCTTCCTCTGTTAATGCTTCGAAGTTCTTCAGTCAAATCATGCACCTCTCTGAATCAGTTTCTCTTCTTTTTCCTGTCCTCAGTTGATATGGCTGCAATCATTACTGAAGCAGAGCATTGCCAAAACCTATTCCGACTTTTAAAACTTTATTAGCAAGAAGATAACACATGCATAAAATAGACTGAGCACAGTTTTATTTTTACAGGAGAGAAACGGTACTTCTGTCTTCAGGAAGCCAGGTTTATGATCAGTTTTGGCAACCTAATAACAGGTTTGAGAGATGCCAAAAGGTTGTGGAACCAAGAGTGCACGATATGGTAAGGTACATGGTCCTGATTCTGGGCTACAAATCACACTCTCAGTTTAAGGGAGTATTTGAGCCTCCAGTAAATAAAAATTTTGCAAAGAGCAGTCTAGAAGGGTGATGGAATGTGTAAAGATTCACCTTTCTTATCTCTGAGAAGCCTACAATGCAGTCTAACCTTGTTTTTGACCCTTTCTTTTTTTTTTTTTTAATTTTTTGTCTTTTTGAGGCAGGGTCTCGCTATGCAGTTTAGGCTGGCTTTGAGCTGACTTTGTAGCTCAGGCTGGTCTTGAACTCACAACGATCCTCCTGCCTCAGCCTCCCGAGTGCTGGGATTACAGGCACATGCTACCACATCCGGCTTTCAAATTTTATTATTCTTTGGTACTGGGAATCAAACTCAGGACCTTGCACTTGCCAGGCAGACGCTTATGCCACTGAGCTATACCCCTGGCCCTTTAACCTTGTTTTTGACTCTTTTAAACTGACTAAACTTCACATAAGGCAAGTTGTTCAGAGGCCCTCCAATTTATTTCCCAAATGGAAATCAATGAACTTGAGTTCAGTAGAACTTTGCTGAGGGCTTCTTCCAGGTGAGGCGCCTGGCAAGCGCAGGATGAGGAGGGTGGGACTGTCATCCGATCATACAGTAGGTGTTCAATAAGTGCTGAGCGTGTCTGTCAGGGACCGTGCTGGATGCTGAAATGGACAGGAGAGACCCGTCAGCTTGTGTCCTGCTACCCCATGAACCCCTAGGGGCCAGGCCTTAAACAGGCAATACACAACAGTTACAGACAAGTGCTATGAAAAGGTACCAAGCTGCCTCTCGTGACGGAGGGGGAACTAGGGAGGGGAGCCAGTTTAGACAATCAGCAAAGGCTCTCTGAGGAGTGGTCTATGAGCAGCCCCAGATCGGAATCAGCTGGAAGGAGGTTTGCCGGGACCTGAGGGCAGAGGCTTCCAGACAAAGGCTGAAGTTAAGAACCCCTCAGGAAGCTCAGCACCGCACCCCAGGTACCTGCAACCCCTAAGCAGACTGGACCCCAGAACAGCTCCCAAGTCAACTGTCTGCAGTAATTTCCAGGTTGGGAAAGGCAATCTTCAAGCCTTCAGGACTTCCGCTGGTGCCAGCAGAGAGGTGGTGAGAAAGGCCCCAGTGGTAAGAAATGGTGCAGAGCTAGTCTCGGAGGGCAAAGCCCTCCTGGACCGCGCCCGCCTGGCAGTCACGTGCCCTAACCAGCTTCCACCTTGCTTCTCCTAGGGAGTGCGCTGCCGTACACTAGAATTCCTGTTTGTTTGTTTCGTGTAGGGTTCTGTTGGTCCTCTTCCAAGTATCAATCAAAGCTGCGAGCCAGCCTCCACTCCTTGGAAATAATTAAATGAAGTGACGTGCCCGATTTTTTCTGCCGGCTAATGCGCTGTGATTTGCATCCTCTGTTGAAGGAATCTGTCTTGAGTCCTAAGGCTGAGCCATGTGCGACGACGGAGGTGGATTTTTCCCCCTCTGCTGATGCTCACGAGGATGGAGTCCTATTGCTAAACACACAGGTGGACCAACTGCTTTACTCGGCAAACTGTTCCTCTCAGTAAGCCGCTCTTTGTAAACACGCCTCTGAATTCAGTGCAAAGAAAGTTTCCTTCCGTTTGGTGGTTTGACATCTTGAGGTTGCCAGTGCTGCGACCTAGGCTCTGTAGAGACGTCAAGGACAGCGCAAATACTGCGGTTTAAGAACAGGTTTTGGATTCGAGGCTTTCTCCCACCCGGGGAAAAGGGGATCTACACCACAGCCTTTAGCTCGACGCCAGAGCCAAGCACCCCGAGCGCAAGCCTAGGTGCTCTGCAGCAGCCACGGCGGCACAACCTGCGACTTCACGCAGACGAGTCACAGGCGGTGCGGGCTACTGAAGATGAAATGAAACATCCTCCCTCTGCGCCCTGCAGTGGGGTTCCCTCCGCCCGGGCACAGCAGCCGCAGGGGAAGGAAGGGCTGCTGTCGGCGTGCGAGGGAGCGCTCGGCTCGGGGTGTGGGATGCGGTGTTCTCAGGCGACAGATGAGGGATTTTGGCTGTGTGGGAAGGGAACTGCGGAATTCCTCCCCTCGGCTCCTGAGGGGGCTCTCAAGGAGACAGATCAGGATGGGGAGCGCAGCCCTGGCTGCCGAGGGCGAGGAGGCGAGTCAAGGACACCAGACCGTGGGCGCTCCGAGGACGCCCAGCGTGGACTGTCCCCTCCCCGTCCTCCCAGCCGCGGCCCCAGGGAGACCCCCGAAGGGCTAGCGGTCCCCACAGGACAGCGAGTGCAGGGAGGCCCCCGTGAGTCTCCGATCCCACGTCTGCGGGGGGACCCGGCTGGAGAACAGCCCAAGCCGACGGCCGCCACCACTCGCCCTCCGCAGGAGCCCTGGCCACAGCACACTGCGCGGGCGCGGCACGAGCGCGCGGCCTCGATCCGGGTTCCTCGGGCCGTGCGCGCGAGGGGGCGGG